ACAGCAGTATCGTCCAACTCACGTGTTTTCAGCAGGGGAGCACCCGGGAGGCGGCGCTTGAGTTTTGGTGAATATTTGTCAGAACGCTCATGTCACCAACGACAGTGACAACAATGACGGCGAGGATGACAACTGAAGCACCCCCCCCCGCCCTCCCCCCCCCCCCACCAAGTCGGTAGGCCAAAGAGCCTCCCGCAAGCAATGATTCCTAGACTCCCCTCCTCTCAACATTTTTATTATTGCTGGACCCCCCCAAGGCCAAATAAAGTACCCCTCCCGCCTACTTGTTGCTATCCCTCTCCTGGATCTGTTTCCACACGGGGCCGACCCCGGCGGCGGTGGCCACCTCCTCCTCCCCGGGGCCGGCCGCCCTCCCCCTGATCTTGCGGGCGGCGTCTGACATCTCGAACGCCACCTCGAACTCGACCTCCCCCTCGCGGGCCTCGTCGAGAGACACCGCGTCCTGCTCCCGGGTGGCCAGCTCGCCGACGACCCGCGCGGCCCTCCAGCGGACGAGCTTGCTCTTGTCGCGGAGGCCGCCGACGGCGATTGGAATCGCGGCAGGGTCTCCCAGGTCACTGTTTTTATTCACAGGCAAAAAACACACACACACAAAAAAGGGGAGCGGGTTGGGAGGGGGGGGCGTACTCATGTTTTGCATCCCTTAGTTGTTTGACGGCGCATCCTCGAGAGGGTGGGGGGGGGAGAGGGGGTCAACATCAAGTCCGCCAGTGGCCGATACCAAAACTTGGACCCCACGCCCCTCACAGCGGAGGCCGGGGGACAAAAAAAAAACGGGAATGCCCCACTGGCCTGCAACCGCGGAGCTGCGGTCGGCCTAGAGAGAGAGAGATGGGTGGGGCACATCACGACACACAAAGACCTGCGCCTTCATACAGGGCACACACTAAAACGTCTCCCTCGGCCGTACCTCAGCGCGTCCCCTGCGGTGCGCCGAACCCCGGCGTTCTTGTCCCCGCGAAACACCGCCGACACGGCCTCCAAGCCCGCAGACCCCACAGCGTCCCCCGCACCCCCGATGTACGCCACCGCCGCGCGTCGGGCGGGGACTGGGCCTTCCCCGGATGCGGTGAAGCCGACGAGCGCGTCGAGGGCGTCCTGGGAACCGTCCCCGGCCAGGGCGCAGAGGGTGTCGACGGCCGCGACAACCTCACCCTTGTCGGCGGCCGGGGATCGCTGCAGCACCGCGGTCGCCGCCCTCTCCTTCGCGGTGCTCTCGCCAGAAGCAGCAGCAGCAGCAGCAGCAGGGGCAGCAGCAGCAGCCTCGGCGTTCTTCTGCAGGAGGATCAGGGCCGCGTGCACCGCCCCGCGCAGCCTGGACTCGTGGTAGGCCAGCTCGACCTCGTCGACTGCCGCGGCGAGCGCTTCCACAGCGGATTCGGCGGCCGTCTCCTTACTCGTCGCCTCGACCCCCCCCCCGCCCTGACCAGTTTCATCATCATCCCCTCCCTCTTCCGCGGGATACCGGACACCGCGGGGCAGCCACTCGCGGCCCTTGAAGAAGGCCATCTCGTCGCCGGAGCCGGCAACGAACTCCGTCATGGCTTCGACGAAGCGGGAGGACAGCTTGCGGCGGAGGGGGGTCCCGCCCGGGGGGCAGGCCTCCACCTGCGGGGTTGTTAGGTTGAGAGCGAGATACGTGGTCGGGTAGAGATAGAACGAGAGCAAGGTTTTAAGTATTAACGCTCTACCGTCAAGAGGCAGAGGCTGTGCGGGAACACGCGCCCATTGGTCTTTATTGGCTCAGGATTCTGTCGCGGACGCTGCCCAAAAGAACGGCGCAAACACACGCCGTAAATCTGTGTTGTCCCTTAAGAGCCGGTTAGTTGAAGGCGAAAGCGCGACAAACCGATGAATACTGTACCATTCGAATTGGCATGAAAATGTTATTTGGGGTATGTACGCAGGAAAGTCACAAGTAGTACGCATACGGGGCTCCCGAACGCGGACGCTGCCCAAAAGAACGGGCGCACACCCACGTCTTCTTTTCGAGTGTTGTCCCGTCACGTTGCAACTTGCACCCACCTGGATCGGGATGCCGTTGGACACCTGCAGGCGAATGGCGATTCCGTCCATCTCCGACCTTTTCCATGCCGACCCGCCCTCCCCCCCAGACGCCATGAGTAGCGTCAGGGGATCTAGGGACGAGGCTGCCCCGCCTAAGGCCTCCACCGCCGCGGGAACCTGCCCACACGTGGTCGTTGTCATCGTCGCCACATTTTCGTCATTGCGAAAAATTGTGCACGTTACTACATCACATGGAACAACCAAATACTGCGTCCTAGAACTCGTCTCTTGGGTACGCGATCACGTATCACTGCTAGGCAATACCTAGGAACGTATGGGCTTATTGTTGTTTTTATTCCATCGCCTCTGTGACTGTTTTTTGCGCTCCGGCGGGGGGGGAGAGGGAGGAAGGGGGAGAGAGAGAGAGGCAATGCCACGTCTCAGTGTTCTGTAACATGATGGCCTGACAAAGTCCCCTTGGTCACGACGCGCACACGCCACAGCCTCCATGTTAGGTCTTCCACCCTCAGCCAGCGGTTGCCGTTATCCGCTCGAGCACCACCCAACAGTAGTGTATCTGTAAGCTTGCAATCTACCTGGTACACAAGAGCAGCGTGTGCCCACGTGTCGGTTTGTCCGTGCACCATCTGCAGAATTCGGCGCATGGTTTTTCTATCAGATGATGACGACATGTTCTTGCCGCGTGCAGCGATCTCCACGTTCTTCGAAGGAATCCTCGTCGAACAGCAAGCCCACACAAAGGCCAAGTCCGGTGCCATTGCATTCATAGTTTGTACATATGCTATCTACTACTTGACGTTCATTTTTTCACTCGTTCGCGGGACTGTCACATTCACGCTCTCCCACCTGCAACATAGCATACTTCGGAGTATTGCATATGCATACTCACAATCGCATCCCACTTGGCGGAGGGCTTCTTGTTGAGGCACAGCCAGTCCGCCAAGGCGTACACGGATTCTACGCCTTGGATCTCGAGCAGTCTTAATATAGCCTCGGGCGCCTCGGGCACCCCTGCTTGCTGCTGCTGCGCCGCCGCGCGAGAGTAGGTGATGCCTCTGGTTGCCGTGGCGCCCGAACCGGGACCGTAGAGGGTCTGATCGAGGTCAAACTTGAACGAGCTTGGGTTTGGCGTACTCTCTATGCCGGAGACGCGCATCGTTGGCGGTGCCATGGGCCATGCCGGTGCTGCTGATCCTCTGGCGGTCGTTGTTACTGGCGGCGGCGACACGATGAAGAAGGCCCCGACGGGTAGAGCCATCGCTGCCAGCGCAACAAGATGAGCTTGCATCATGTTCTTGCTGCACGCTCTCCCCGTGTTCGTGGTTTGCGCTGTGGCCACAGCAGCAGCCTGAGCAGCGCAATGCTTCTGTGTGCGGAAGAAGCGAACAACTGCTCCTGCCTAGTGCTGCTGCTGTTGTGGGGGGGATTCTGCTTTTTCCTACTGCAACGTGGCTGTCTGCTGTGACTGCTGCTGTCTCTCTGCTGAAATTCTCGAAAATGGATGCATGCAAACGCCTTTTTTCGTTTTCTCGCCAGCGCCGTCTCCCATCCCCGCCCCCGGCCTAGGCCGAGTTCTCCCGCACCCACAAACACTACAACACACGTCCCGGTGACCGTGCCAACACGTGTGCTGCTGTTTGCTCTCTGCTGCACATCATTCGAACCTTTAGGTCTACATATTCTACAGTCGAAGATGGCAGAGGATCCCAAAAGTGCTCCAGACGCACAGAGCAGCAACAGCAGCAGCAGTGCAGCAGCAGAGCACGCTGATGGAGAGGAGAACAAGGAACAACAGGAGCAGAACAAGGAGCAGGAGCAGCAACAAGAGGAGGAGGAGGAGGAGGAGGAGCTGGTGATCGAGCAGCCTTTACTGACGATCAAAGAAGTGTTCGTGTATAGGGTGCCTCCCTTGCGAGCGTCTTCGGGGCACCGTGCCGAGGAGTGGGGACTGGCAAATCCCGTCTTCACAGGTGCTTGCTTCCCCACGGAGGAGTATGATCGGTAGTCTGCTGCCGTTGTACAGCAGTACAGTACCGTTCGACATTCGACTGCTGCTGTTGTTGTTTTTGTACCGGTGGCAGTTTAGACTGGTGTGTGTGGGAGTGACGCTGGTGTCGATATAGATCCAAAGAGAGTCGATCGGTTTGGAAACGAGAGTGATATTTTGCTCGAGGAAAGTACACATACGTGGCAGATGTGGTCTAAAATGTACACTTTCAACGAAATGTTCTGTGCACGCATGCAGCGGCTTCACTGCCCTGTACGGCCTCACGGCCTGTTGTACGGCCTCACGGGGTTGTGGCAGCAGTTGTGCATTAACATGTCCGTCTCGATCAGTCTCGCCTCATTGATCGGGGGAGTGACGAGCAAGCTTGCTGCGCAGTTAGCCAGAAGCAATCAGGCGAAGCCTTTTGTACATGGTGCGGGGCAAGAGAAAGGTAGAAGAGAGGTGGGTGTCGCGGGGTCAGACAATCCTTGTGTAGCATGTACGGTGTGGTAGCGACAAAGAGCGCAAGAGAGAGAGAAAGAGAGAGGGAGAGAGAGAGAGACATGTTGCGCTCTTTCGATTTATTGAATTCCATTGGGTATCGCTGATAAGTGCGGAGGCCGTATGATGATACGAAGCGCATTGCAAGCAACAGCTCGGAGCCTGTTTGAAGCTCCCCTCCCCCTTTCCCCCGATGGTTTGCCCCCCATGTGATGCGAGAAGGCGTGCTGAAGATTGCCCAGGTAGGAAACGCGTGCTGTCTACGGTTGTTCAAGCCCCCGCCGGAGGGGGAACTAGGAGCCACGCCCGAGCTCTTCGCCCAGTGCGAGGTGCGATTGGACGGCGGCCGCACCCTCCAGGTGTATGTGGAGTCCGTCATCGACTCCTCTCGGTGAGAAGAAGATGGAGGATATGCATACGTAAGACTGCTGTAGACTATACAGATTTGTACCATTTTTTTTGTTTGATTCGTCAGGGTTCGCAGGGCTCTTGGAGCCAACGACACGTCAGCTTGTGGGCTCATTCTGCTGCTGCTTTTGTGCCATATTGTGTAATCCCCTCGACGACACTGCCGTGCTCGCATGAGCCCACTCCAGACGGACCCCTCGTACACGTAGATAGATAGCTGTACGTGATATGTCGTTGGTTGGCCTCGCTCCTGCTGTCTGAATCGAGAACTGGAGGGACGGAGAGAGGCAGAAGGCTGACCAGGCACACGGTCAATATTGACGAAAGAGGCAGATCAGGCAAAGCGTGGCGGACACAGGCAGACTCCATGCAGGAACGACACCGCGCCGTCACAGTCATGCCTGTGTTTGCCGTTGGTTGTTGTTGCGGGAGAGCGCGGTGATACACGACCTGACTACATCGTCTTGACGCGTGACGGATATCCTCAAACGTTCCTTTGACCCTCCTCTCGCTCCCTCTCTCCCCCCATGCTTCAAGTTGACACCCTCCCTGCACTTTCCACCCCCTCTCTTGCCCCTGTCCCCCTTCGTCCTGCAGCTATTTTGTGCTCCGGTGCGAGGACAAGGCTTCTGGGAGGCACGCCTATGTCGGCGTAGGTGGGCTCTGCGTAGTGGCCGCTTGCGGCAGTGCCCCCGTTAGCCCTCGAGACATCCCCGCCGCAAAAGAGTAATATATATATATTTTGTTTTGTCCCGTGGAAGATCAATCGCGCCTAGAGGGGTTTGTGGTTGGTTTCGGACCAAGGCCTTGTCGTTCGCTATCGACGGGCCGAGCAGATAACATGCACAACCCGGATGGGAGGGTTGCAGGCACACACAGCAACGGCAGCAGAAAGACGCCTGCAGCAACCACAGTAGGAGGATGCGACAACGAATCTACAGCAAACGGGCGGTTTTATGTCTCATTGAACGATGTACAATACCTCAATCTTTCGCTAGACAAAATGAGGGAAGAATGTGAGGAAATGGAGGAAGATTTAGGTTTGTTCCGGAATACCATGCGGTCGTTTCCAGAGAGAGTAGCAGCATTATACCTCCGTTTGAATGCAGGTGGACGCGCAGGTTCAAGGTCGGTTTTTGCAAGTCCGACTACTCCACAGCCCAAGAGGCTGTCAACGACGAAAAGGGTTGTGCTCTTTTGGAAATATCTCGCGATACATGGCTCTCCTTGCACGTGGATCGGTCAGGCTTCTCATGCTCTCGGTTGTGTAGCATCCATCAACAGTGTGTTTTTTTTACGGTCGATTTTGCCCGCAACTGTAGCAATGGCACACGCACACACGCTTTTTCCCCCCTTGCTCTTCTGATCTAATGTGTTGTGCGCCTCTTTCCGGATGTGCTCGTGTGACCGAAAAAACGTAAAAAACAGGTTTCCGGGAGCGTAGCTCGGCGTTCGATTTCAAGGCGGTGCTCGATGATTTCGTCCGTTTCTTGGATCGACAAAAGCGAGCAGAGGAAACATCTGCCATTGAGGTACGGCGGGTGGCGTCGGCGGTGGCGGCAGCACCCGTGCCGGATATACACATATCGTAGCTTTTCCCTGTACGTGTTTCGTGGTCGTTATTGTTGTTTTTGACGTATTTTTTCTTGTGTTGTTTCTGTTGTTTCTGTGTGATTATGCCAATGCCTCTGCTCTTGGAACTGAACGTAGTCTCTGCGCTAAATCTTTTTATTGTCCACAAGATACCGGCGATAACTGTATGTATGCGCTGGTTCATTTCCACGTCCTTTGGTGATGGGCGGCAGGAGGAAGAAGGGGAGGAGGCACTGGGTCCGGTGAAGCTGATGAAAGACCTTTCCATCGCGGAGGGGCAGAAGTTGCATATCGGCCTAAAGGTACGCGAGAGTGGTGGTCGTGATTACATACTACAGTGTAGTACAAGTGATCCCTCCGGAGTGGGCTCATGAGAGCACAGTAGTGCAATGAAAGGGTGATGCAAGATGGGACATAAGAGGCAGGCAGGACGCACTCACAGGTAACTCCCAGCTGCGGTGTGACTTTTGCCAAGCTCAACAGCTCACACAGTTTAGGTGTAACTGACTCTGAACGAACCAAAAAGAAAAAAATCATTTCTTTTATACTGATTGATGAGGCCGGACCCCGGAGTCATTTCCCCCAGAACGTCAGCCCCACCTCGGCTGTTACAACTTTCCATGTCGATGGTATTCATCGAGGGTCGGCTAGACCTTTCAACGATCTGCAATACATTTGGGCAATATAGGCGGGCGTGGTTTGACGATGGGGCAGTGTCTCAGTGTCCCATTCAGCCCCTCTGTGGGAAAGGTCGCGAAAGGTGGAGGCTTAATAACGGGAGTGAATGCTCACTTTATTCCTAGACGCGCAAAACCTGCTGTGCACACAATGACGTATTCTCCAAGCCTACTTCCGCCCCCCTCTCATGAGCCCCCTCAAAGCCAACCGTTCCCCGTCACTCCCTAGCGCTCTGTCTCCGTCCGCATCCGAAGAAAACAAGTGTTGAGAGCAAAGGCGCGAAAACGATTGTTACCCCCCCCCCCCCCCCCGGGATGGGTTGGCCCAACCAGGGTGGCTCCAAAGGGGGCGGAAACGGCGGCCGCGGGGGAAAAGAAGATAATTAGAAATA